TCATAGAGACGTTCTTCAGTATCAGAGATACTATCAGAGATACTGTCTGTATCTGTGTCTGTGTCTGTCTGCCTGTCTGTATGTGTCTGTCTGTCTGTCTGTTTCTGTATCTGTATCTGTCTGCGCCTCCTGTTGCAGACTCACCTGTAGGGACCTGAGGGCAGAGAACAGGGTGGGGACCGGAGTGGCGCTGCGGGCGTCCACCAGCACCGTCAGCCCGGACGCTCGCGCCTCCTTCCTGTTTCAAACAGGAAGTGATGTCAGAGGAGGAACAGTGTACAGTGAGCTGAGTGAGTGGGAGGTGTGAAGGATGCGGGGCTTGTACCTGAGGGTGGAGGTGTAGTAGAGCAGGAGGTGGAGCAGCGCAGCGCTGTCACAGTCGGGGTTGGACCACACGGCGTTCCCGGTACAGACGGTCAGCAGAGCGCGGCCGCTCCTGTCGCTGGTTCCTGAGGAGAGACAGGAATGATGCATTCACAGACATCAGGAAACTCCAGTTGCTGCTGATAATGTCTCAGAAATACAGAAACAGTCAGTGTTACACTGTGAACTCTATCATCTGAATACAGTTTCAATGTACTTTGGTTTTTATCCATTCAAAAGTAATAAAAGTTAAAAAAGATATATACTGCATGACTATCGCGTATACAGTGCGTGAGTATATAGTATATAGAGCAGGTCGTCCACTAATCGGAGGGTTGTTCCGCTGCATGTCCTTGAGCAACATACTGAACCCTAAACTGCTCCCCATCAGTGGGTGAAGGAGAATGAGTCCTTCTACCATTCAGTGTGTACACACTGTGCAGTACGTGAACATGAGGGTTGTGTTTGTCACCTGGCATACAGACAGCTCCAGAGCTCAGCAGCACACTGTAGAAGCTGGACTGGGAGGACTGGGTGAGCTGTACTGGGACTGTGGGAGCAGCTGACTGGTTCTGCTCTGGAGACGCTGCTGGTAGTTCTGGTTCTGTTGGACTGGGACCAGTAGACAGACTGACATGTGACTGGACAGGAAGCAGCTCACTGCTGAGGCCTGTGGACAGAAGACACAAACACGTTTGTGTCATCATTAACTAATATTAACTATCACTAACTAATATTAACTAATATTAACTATCATAAACTATCACTAACTAATATTAACTATCATTTATTAATATTAACTAATAATAAGTAATATGAACTATCATTAACTATCATTAAATAATATTAACTACTGATCATTAATTATCACTAACTAATATTAATTATCATTAACTATCACTAACTAATATTAACTATCATTAATTATCATTTACTAATATTAACTAATATTAACTATCATTAATTATCATTTACTAATATTAACTATCATTAACTATCACTAACTAATATTAACTATCATTAATTATCATTAATTATCATTTACTAATATTAATTATCATTAACTATCACTAACTAATATTAACTTATATTAACTACCATTAACGATCCTGTTGATTAATCTGTTTATCAGCGCTGGTACTATGTGTTCATTCCAGTAACATTAAAGCAGTTTAACCAGCAGTCAGCTCTACACAGTTTGTACTGGAGAGCAGAGGAGGAAGGAAGGTTAAAGGGAAGAGGAGGAGGACTAATTCAACCAATCAGAGCAGGAGGAGGAGGAGGAGGAGGAGGAGGTGATAAATGATGACAGAAAGAGTCGGATGGTTTGTGGGATGAAAAGCATGAGGGGGAAAAAGATTGAGGAGGAGAAACAGGTTTCTGTACCTTCAGTCTGAAGCTCTGCAGTTCTTCCTCCACCAACCTCCTCATAGCTGCACTCCTCCTCCTCCTCCTCCTCCTCCTCCTTTGTCTCCTTCTTTTCCTGTCCATTTTTAGACCCCTCGGGTTCAGTCCAAAGTGAATCCTGATCCATCGCTGGCGTGTTGGACTCCTCAGAGTGTGTTTGTAGTGCG